GAAGCAGCGTGGCCCACTGGCCGGGGGAGATGGGGCCCAGGAGGACACTTGGAGATAAAGGAGAGGAGATGGGGAGTGAGGGCTCAGGGGGCCGGGTGACTCCGTTTCTCCTGCCACCCTCTCCTGGTTGCAAGGAGCCAAGCTCCCCGGACCTGCTGTGAGCCCCCACTGGTGGGAGTGGGAAACCAAGATGGGACCTTGCTGTCTGTGGCAGGGTGACCTAGGGACCCAGCAGTCGTGTGCAGTGCAGAGCTTGGCCCAGACAACTGTCTCCCGTCTTAGGGTCCAGAATTACAGGAAAAAATGACCCAAAGCCCCACCAGTGAACTTGAGCCTCCCTATTCTCCACACGTCTCAGCTTCCGTCTCCTTTCCTTGTCTTCTCCTTTTTGTTTTTGGTGATATTGAGGGTTGAACCCAGGGCCTTTGCACTGAGCTACACATCCCCTGTGTCCCATCCTTTTTTGTCTTGTGACAGGGTCTCACTAAATTGCCCTTCCTGGGCTCAAACTTGAGATCCTCCTGCCTCAGCCTCCCACGGTACTGGGATTGTGGGTATGCAGCACCACTCCTGACTCCGATATGCGTTTTCATCACTTTCAGGGCAGCCTTCACAGAGCTCCCCAAGTGTCCTGGGTGCAGGGATCAGGAAGTCACGGGTCCATGAGACCTGGCCATGACCTCAGGGGCCTCCCAGGATGGTGTGAAGCCAGCACCCAAAACCCGGGACTCCACAGATGAGAGCTGCAGCGGGGCTGGACAGGGAACAAGGTGATGAAGGTCCCACCACGGAGGCCCAGGAACTTCCCAGAGTGGCACTTCTGACACCTGGGAGCGTGGGGGGTGTCTCGCAGGCACAGGGAAAGGGGTGTACAGCAGAGGGTGTGTGTGCGTGTGCGAATGTGTGCGTGTGTTGGGGGTCAGGCCCTGCTGGATTGGCAGGGAACCACAGCACCCTGGGACAGAGTGTGGCGAAGTTGAAAACAAAGTGAATAGGGAGAGAATCCCATCGATTTGGGGCTGGGGTAGAGCTCGGTGGCAGAGCTGGTGCCCAGGACGCACCGCCTAAAACATTCTTGAAGTTTGCTGCTCCCAGGGGCTGGTGACTCAGTACCTAGGGAAAGTAAGTCTCCAGCGCTAGTCCAGAGACACAGAGCACAGGATATTTCCCAGAGACGAGGTCCCCCGGTGGGCAGTGAGGGATCCCCCAGAACCCCGGTGTGACCGTGTTAATGTTAGTTCAGGGCCCATCTTGTCCCCACAAGACCGAGGTGGCAGAAAATCGACAGCCACGTCTGATGCCATAAATCACAGACCTGGGTAGGGAAAGCTGCAGGAGGCGAGCAGCCAGGAGTCTACGTGAAGTCAGAAATACAGCAGTGACCGCAACAAGTGCCCACGGTGTGCCGGGCTCCCGGGCCCTCGCGGGGCACGCGTGCTGGCCGTGTGACGGTCACATCGTGTCACCTGCAGCCAGGCAGAGGCGGGAGTGTGGCCAGCCAGGTTTGTGCCACGTTTTGAGGCACCTGCTTCTTGTCTTTCCCGTCTGCTCCCTCAAACCCTGTCTCCTGAGGGCAGGGACAGAGCCCCTGCACCCTGGCTCCCCAGCAGCTCCCCTAAGACCTGCAGGAGACAGATGGGCGGGCGAAAGATGAGCCACCTGGGGAAGATGGCGGTGGCACAACTCCGCCTGGTAAGAGAAAGGCTCCGGTCCTCCAGGGCTGAGTGGACTTGGGCTCACGGACTCTCATGGTAGAGCCGACCTGGCCATCCCCACCCCGGCGGCAAACACGCAGGGTGTCACAGCTGCGCATCAGCGGCCCTAAAGGGTTCCTGGCCGACCCCAGCTTTCTGCCTCAGCCCTTCGGGAAGGGACCCAGGAATCTGCATTTTGGGCCCTTCACACCCACACCAGGACATAAGAGTCATTCACAAAGTCCTGGGACTTTTCTCACCTGGGACACCTGGACATTTTTCAATCACTAAACCTTTAAGAATGCCGGCTTCGGGCACAGAGAAACAGGTTCATCTCTGCTCAGTACTTACAAGCCACAGGACGGACTTGCCCACTTTGTTATGCTCTCTGTGCCTTGGTTTCCTCATTTATAAACTGGGAATGGATAGAAACACATAGCAACAGCAATAAGATTAATGGCTGTTGCCAGGGGCTGTGGAGAGGCATTTGGGAAACAGAAGATGGAAAAGACCTGGGCCTCTCTCACACAGCCCTGCAAACCCACTTAACTGCCCTGCGCCATATGTGTAACAATGGCAAAGATGGTAACTCATGTTATGTGATTTTTAAAAACCAAAATTAAAGTGGGGGGGCTTTTTTGCCAAGCGTGGTGGTGCACGCCTGTAATCCTAGCTCTTGGGAGGCTGAGGCAGGAGGATCACCACGAGTTGGAGGCCAGCCTAGGCTACATAATGAGACCTTGTCTCAAAAATAAATAAATAAGCATTCCCCCTCCCCCGTACTGGGGGTTGAACACAGGAAGCCCTGTACTACATCTGCAGCCCTTATTTATTTTATTATTTTTGAGGCAGGGTCTCTTATGTAACGATAAGTTATTTATTTAAAGGCATTTTAAAATTATTGTCTGAGCCTTCTAGCCAGCAGAAGTTCCCTGTACTTTTTGAAATGGCATGACAATTTTTCAAGAAAGCATTGGGCTGTGAAACTGAAACTTTTCTATAATCATCCATTAAGGAATATTTCAAACTCTGAAAATCCAAGTAGCTTTTGACAGGTTGCATTTTTTTCCAAATGTTGACCAAAAGGATCATTTACGTTTCCTATGTAGATACATATATACAGTCTTTTTAAAACGGCTATACCATAGGTTGATACAGGAAAGCAAAAGGATATTCATATTAGTAAGTCTAATTCTTTTGTTTTTTGAGATAGGGTCTCACTATGTAGTTAGGGCTGGTCTTGAACTCACTGTGTCACTCAGGCTAGCCTCAAACTTGCAAGGATCCTCCTGCATCAGCCTCCCCAGTGCTGGGATCACAGGCATGCGCTACATGCCTTGGGTGGGCAGTCTAATTCTCAAAACACTAAAATCCTCAGTGCACAGAGTTGAAGGAAACAAACCAAATATTTTTTTTGTTTTCTACCTTAATGAAGGAAATCAAGCAAAAGAGAATCAAGAAATGATCTCCTGTCCTGAATCAGCCAGGGAAGGCAAAGCACTTTAGAGATCGAAGGCATAGACCCAAAGGTGTGGCTTTGATTCTCTTTGCATTCATGCTCATTCTGTCTCTCCAGTTTATTAGTTAGGTCTTCCAAGAACAAATGCGCCATTTTACGGGGCCGTAATCCACGTGGGCGAATAACCGAGAGGTCTTGGTCTTCCTCATTTACTCCACTAAGAAAGCTAGAGGATTGCCTTGTAAAACAGCATGTGACCCGCGCCCTGATTCCTACCGAGCGCCAATCTCGGAACTTCTCAAACCAGATTCATAAACCCGGGAATTAGCTCAGTGGTTCTACCGCCTGCCTCGCAAACGCAAGGTCCCGAGTTTGATCCCTGGTACCTAAAAGCAAAAAAACCTATCACGGTCAGAGGCTGAGCTCAGACTGAAGGCAATGACCAGAGGCCAAAGTAGGGGTGCGAATGGCACAGCGAGAGGGGCACAGGTGACTCTGAGCCCAGGGCCTCAGGCCACACAGGTGTTCACGGGGAGGCACTACAGGAGAAAATTCCAGGTAAGTCTCTTGATGGGAAGCTGAATGCTGCGGCCCTCGCTAAGAACTCCCTGCGGATTCTTTGTTCTCCACCTCCACGCCATGCATGCGCGACCCGAGGGAGCGGCTGGAGGCCCAGAAGTCCCGGGTCGGGGCAGCGCCCGCGCACCTTGGACCTAAGGTAGCTGAGCTCCGCGGGGTGAGGATGCAGGTGTCAAAGACACCTGCTCCTTGTCTACCTAGACGAGAGTGGAGAGAAGGGTTTTTGTGCCTGTCACAGAAAAAAGAAGGAACCAGATAGTAACTGGATTCTGAGCCACCTCCTGTCCACTTAATTTTTCTTTTTCTAATAGCCTAAAGAAACCTCCATGTTATCTTAAGGCAGGGGTCTCTGGAGAAGGCTCACAGCTCTGAGATCGAAGTATTAACTGTGGCTCCAACTTTTTTTTTTTTTATGAGATAGAGTCACACTAAGTTGCTAATTTGCCAGGGCTGGACTTGAACTCAAGATTGTCCAGCCTCAGCCTCCCAGAGTGCTGAGATTATAGCTCCAACGTTTCTAGTCACATAACCTTGGAAGATCCTTTTAACTGCTGTGGGCCTGTTTCCTACTGGAACAGGACCTGGGTCACCTGACACATGGAGTAAGTATTTGTGAAAGGGGAGAAAAATGAACCTGCAAAATGAGAATATAACAGGGGACCTCAGAGATACCTTCTGGGCCCAGCCCTCACCAGAAGTGTGATTTGTTTGCCACAGACTCATGTCTCTGGCCCCTCTGCTCCTCCTTCATCAGTCTGGCCAATGGACTGGTGGCCTTCACCCAGCACAGTGCTGGCCTGCATTTGCTTAACACCCTGCTATCACCTCTCGATTATGTGAGTACAAGGAGAATGCCGTTTGCCATTAATGTGATAGTACAATTTTTAAAAATAATAATTAGTTGCCAGGACATATTACTGCTTTTAACGTCCTATGCAATATTTCAAAAACCATAGAATGAACTATTTAAATTTTCCTTCTACAGTTGTTTTCTGCTTGATTTCAAGAGTTAAATGAACAGTTTCCTCTATTTTGCATCTGATGTATTTTTCTTCTCCATTAAAATGCTGAAGGTCCACCCCTCCTCCTTACGAAGAAAAAAGAAACCTTTCCCCTGCAATTTACTTTGGCTTTCTCAAAAGTTGGGCAGGAAAGTCAGTGTAATTCAGGTGGAATCTAAAAATGTTCTTGTTTTACAAGTGTGTGCAGAAAGGAAGCCTATAATTTCCGAGCATTCTCTCAGGAAGTTTGTATTCTGTGTTTTCCAGGGAGCCTTTACTTTCCAAGGGAGTATGATCGACATGCCATTACTGAAGCAGGCCCAAAACATTGTTACGCTTGCCACAGCCATCAAGGAAAAATGATCTGTTAAATGAAGCGCTCCTCAGGTGGGCTGAACATATACAGTGGATTTCTTAAGGCCAAACTGTACACTCAGGCAACTTGCTAGCCTGCCAGGTTGGGGCTCCAGTGCATTTACCGGGGGGCAGTTGTTGTCTTATTGGCCATGTTATTCGTTGGCGCCCCTTCAGCTTATGATCTTATTGTTATTAATATATTGCAAGTATGGACTCATGCTTCCACAGGGAGATAAAACCATGAAGAAGGTGGGAGGGAGCCAGGTGTTTCACAAGGCAGGTCTTGGTCAAACGCGCAGACTCCCTCTGGCCTCCTCGTGTTGGGAAGTGCTTGCCAGGTTACCCATCTCTGCGGCCTACATCACAGATGATTTTAAGAAACTGCAGGCTTTTGAAAAAAGAAGGGTAAAATTAAGGGGGTTTGTGTGTTTCACTAACAGGCCTCTAAAACAACAGAGACGGCACAGAAAACATGGTAGAGCACTACAATGGCTTGTAAAGCTACCTGCTAAAAATAAACTGCTGTTAACCCCATCCCCCAACTGCACCATCTCTGTCCTCAAGGTGCTGGACGGTGAGCCCGAAAGCACTCGTTGGGATGATGTTTTGGGTCAACAGCTAGCGGCAGTTAAAAAAATAAATGTGCAGGAACCAAGGACCATCCATCTGCCCTTTCTTTTCCCAGTTCAACTGCTCACCATTGAGGCCATTTCCCCTGTAAATGCAGGGCCAGGACGGGGCTCCCTCGGCCATAAACTTGTAGTGTCTCCAAGACACAAAGCCAGGGCTGGTGCGTATGGCCCCTGTGAGATTTGCATCACATTAGAGATGCTGCTACAGGTCAGATGGGTGGTGTGGTTAACGGGCTTAGTAAAGCTGTTTTGAAGAGGTTAACCCAGCTTGTAGGAAGGGTAAATAAACATAACAACCAGCCATTGTTCCCTATTCAGCACATACTCTCAGGGTATTGAGGCCCCAGAGGATCAGCTCCTGTGTGCCAGAGGACGCCAATGAAGTTTGAAACACCAACAATCAGAGATTTTGTTTCTGTTCCTCATTAAATCATGAGCTTTTGTGTCGAGACTCCGGACGACTGTTCTTTAAGAAATTAACAGAATGGGAAGTTTTAAACTCTACACCAACCTTTTCACGACCTACGCGGCAGCGAACGTCTACCCTTAGACAAACACTGCGGGGAAGGCTGTTCTGTTCATTTAAATTTGTAAATAGAAAACAGTTGTTTCTTCAGTTTCATCTTTCACCTCCTCTTACACCCTCTTGGTGTGTTCCCTCCGTGGCCCCAAGTGTAGGCCCCAGCCAGGGGGCTCCTCTTCCCCACAGGAAGCCCCGAGAGAGGTAAGCAGAGGGAAGTCTGGTCACAGCAACAACATCATGACACCAAGACCAAGGGAGGAGATGTCGCCTCCAGGGCAGGAACGGGAACTCCTCAGGTGACGTGTGTCCCTCAGACACCAACTAATGTTCCCAAACAGGGGACCTGAGGAGACAGCGCCTGAGCCGAGCTGGACCCTCCTTTCCGTGTCATCCCCTCCACCTGGGTCACCCTGTGCTGCCCCAGAGTTTCCGGAAGGCTGGTAGAAGCCACCCCAACCCTCCCTCTGGGAATGGCCGTGGGGGACAGCATCTTGACGACCTCAGAGGTGACCAGTGTCCCCATGGCCCCACAGTCCAGGCCTGGCATCCTGCTGGGAGTCATGGAGACAAGCGTGTCCTGGTCCACCGTTTCTGCTCAGAGCCAGGAGCAGGAGGAGCATCCGAGACGTGCCCAGAGGGCACAGGCAGCCTTTGGCATGAGAGGAGGGAAGGACACACATTCTGGCCTCTACCCCAGTGACACAGGCAGCCCCCAGTCCCACACAGGTGGCCTTCTCAAGCCAGGGGCCCCCACCCACAGGGAGCCGCCACGAGGAAAGTACAAGTTGTTGGGGCCACAGGAGAAGCAACCTGGTCCCCTGCCCCACAGGCCTTGGGCCCACAGGATCGTAGCTTCCCGTCAAGTCACACAGCTCACCACGCCCTGGTCCCAAACAACTTAGTTCCAGCAAAGCCCCCTCACTCAGTGATCCTCCTGAGAACCCATGGTCCCGACTCTGGTAGGACCATCAGACTGGGACCATGGGGCTACTCTCTGAGTGGAGACCCTAACGAGGGTCCCAGGAGAGTCATTCACGGCCACAGCCCGTGTCCCTCAGGCCTCGGCGGACAAAGCTCCAGAACAGGAGGTGCAGGAACACAGAAGGTGTCCCTTTGCCCCTACCCACATCTCTGGGTGCTGGGGTGGCAAGGAGGGAGGGCTGGGCAAAGGGACCTGTCCTCTGGGGACAGTCACTGCCTGCCAGCTCGGAAGGGAGCCCAGGAAGAGGACCTCACTGCTAATCAGATTAATTAAAAACCATACCTGTTTATAGTTTGTGTAGCTCATCACGAGCTGCTTGTCCAGATCACCCCCTTGTTATTAATTCTTGGGGGTTAAATTATGGGTAACACTATTAAAACATTATCAGAACTAATGAGAAACAATTACTTAGAAAATGAGCCCGGACAAGATTGAGCCGAGAACATCAGGGCGATCACCATAGATTAGTTTAATAAATCATCAGGTGCAAGGCAAGACGGACTGTATGTATGCAAAGCCTCGTCACGGGAAAATGAAATTGAGATTTTTTTTGCATAATTTTTTCATTAATCTCAATAGGACCCGTGTGGTGTAGATTGCTTTATTCCCTTAATACCTTGCCGGGGGGAGGGATGTCCAATAACGTCTTCATTGTTTTACTGAGGTCTTAATGACGGCCTGTGACAACCTCATTTTAATGTATAGAGGATTGTATCAATAGTTTCCTTGAAACCACGAGCAACACTGCACTGCCATGCCCAGGGCGGAAGTTGGGGACTTTCCTCTCCCGTGTGCATGTGCAGGCACTGTCTTCGCCTCCTGTCTTCTGGGGACGGGCTGGGAGACAGAGGCCCCACCGAATGTGGACCTCCCATCCTTGGCCTGTGAATTTGCAGGTCGCTGCCTGCCGGGCCTATGCTGCCGGGTCAATAGGACAACTACGTGGCTGTCCCCCCCTCTAAAATAGAGGTGTCATTATGATCGTGAACGCCCTCTGCCCCCAATGGCTGTGCTGGAGTTCGGGAAGCTGACGACTATTCTTTGGGGGGATTGAGGCTTTTATTTGAAAGGTATTCTGCTTTTAGCGTTTCCATTTACCTTGCCACCTAAATCTTCCGTTTTTATTTATTTATTGTTCTCTAGTATTAGGAGAGTCACTGATGGCACAAAACCGGTTATAAAATTTCCACCAAGACCTTTGCATATGAATGCGGAGAGGCCTGTGACGGCGGGGCTTGGGGACGCGACCTCAGCACCAGCACCTCACCCCTCTCCCCTCCAGAGCTCCACAGAGCCCCGGGCACACGCAGTAGCCCGGCCCCACATGGTACCGTTCCAGCCGTAGTCTTGGGCTTTCTTTACGCGCTCTTTTAAGCGAGGACGGGGGACAGGAAGTAGCTAAAAAGAATAGTTACCGTCCCACTCCCGACTTGGGACCTGCGAGCTGGTGCAGGGGACCCGGCCGCTGTTCGCGTTCTTAGATGGGTGTTTTCTGCTGCCCCGGTTGGGGAGTCTGTTTAAATCGTAGGAGTTATTTGGCCGCGTACCTTTCAGAAAAAGCCACCAGCAGGAAGAACCTAGATCTCCCAGCGACTTGTGCTGCGACGCGACTCAGTCTCAGCTGCATTAAGAGTATTTTGAACAAGTCTCCCAGGACGGGGATCTACGGCCTCCCCGCTTAGATTTTTTCCTCCCGGGCCCTGGGGACGGCGAGGTGCGCGCGT